AGCTCTATTTTTAGTCTTTTAAGGCCACTGTTCTCCATAAGGGCCCCACCAATTTACATTCTCACCAGCAATGTAGGAGGGCTTCCTTTTCTCCACACCTTCTCCAGCATTTATTATTTGTAGTCTTTTTGATGATGGTCATTCTGACCAGTGTGAGGTGATACCTCATTATAGTTTTGATTTGCATTTCTCTAAAAATTAGTGATATGGAACATCTTTTCATGTGCCTGTGGGCCATCTGTATGTTAAGAAGGTGATTCTTAAGGGTTGGTTCTCCTTCTAGAACCAGCATTTTTTTTGGCTGGGTTGAGTCTTCGTTGCTGCACATGGGCTTTTTTCTTTAGTCGTGGCGAGCGGCGGCTACTCTTCGTTGCGGTGCACGGGCTTCTCATTGAGGTGGCTTCTCTTGCTGCAGAGCATGGGCTCTAGGCGTGTGGGCTTCATTAGTTGTGGCATGCAGGCTCAGTAGTTGTGGCGCATGGGCTTAGTTGCTCCGCGGCGTGTGGGATCTTCCCGGACCAGGGCTCGAACCTGTGTTCCCTACGTTGGCAGGCGGATTCTTAACCACTGCGTCACCAGGGAAGGCCCCACAACTTTTTTCTTTGAAGAGAGCAAATCCATATGGCCATTCCCTCTGTTTTCACTAACACCAACCTGTTACCCTCTTTGAGTCTTTAAAGTCTCCCCCCTTGGTTCTTATTTTCATCAACTTCTATTTAAATATATTTGTCACTCCAGTTCTGTCTTCACAGTCTGTTCTTCTTTTGTTACTATCTTCCTGGTGGAATGAGCAGGGCCAGACAGAGTGGGCGTGGCTACAGCACTCAGCTCTGAGCAGCACAGGACACCTATGCTACTTCCCCAGCTGTAGGATTCAGAGGGTTAAAAAAAACAGCTGTGAAAGTAACAAAGGAGGAATTTTAGGGATGGTCAAGTACAGACAGACTCCCTGCCAGGACGGTTTCCTGCTCAGAGGTCCCAAATGGGGAAAAGGTCCCAGGGGATCGCACTGCTGGAGGTTCAAGGAGGGTCCACAGGATAAGTCTCTGAATCGTGGTGTGGAGAGTGATAACCACTTGGTACCCCTCTTTGTATCAGGTGTGTGAGTCAAGCAAGGGGTCAAGTTTAGCTAATTTAGAAGGCCCTGAGGACGGATCCCTCTGGAACTTGAGAGGCTTGAGGTCCTGGAAGGCAGCAGAGAGTCCTTGAAGGGCAGGAGGAGTCTGCCAGGGTGGATGTCTGCCACCTGTGGACAGGGCTTCTAACGCAGAAGCACACACTGGGTCCCCCTGCTCTCTATGTGGCCCGAATAGTTCATGTCAAGTGTTTGACACTGGCTTAGAGAATTACTTCCAAAACTCCGTCCCCACCATAAATGCTCTCCTTTCTGATCTCCCGATTCTCTGACATTCCTACTCTATAAGTAGTTGTCCCCAATTCATCCCAAATACAACATGACCAAAAAAAAAGACTTCTCCCTAAACTATTCCCTGGGTCATTTAACATCATTACCATCCACCTAATTGCTTAAGCTAGAAACCTGGGTGGGGTTATCTTGAACATTTCCCACAAACCCTTATCCACAATTCTAGAACCCCAAAAGCTCTGAAAACCAAAACTCATCTTGTAAGGTGGCCCCAAAACTCACGTGGTAACAAAACTTGCAACCTTGGGCTATCTGTGGCCAACCATACATGTAAATACTAGAAAAACAAAATAATTAGAAACTAGGTTTGCTGAAGGGGCTGATCAGAGGAACTGCTTGCTCTCTTCATTGGAAAGGGTATTAATAATAAGAGCTAATATTTTTTTCTCAGTGTAATTATCCATTCCCAGCCTCATCCCCCAAATGATTTGAGGGGGGCTTAAAAAGTTAAATGCACAGCATCTGCACCAAAGATACCCTGATAAATAACGCCTAGTTTACTGCCTTAATGGCCTGTCATTGACACCCTGATGTGGTGATACTGTTAGATCATTACACACAGGGTGACCAGCTCATCCTGGCAGCCTTTTTTTTTTTAATTGAAGTATGATTTACAATGATGTGTTAGTTTCAGGTGTGCAGCCAAGTGAGCTATATATATATGTTTACATATACATATACATATATATATATATATATATATATGTATAAATTCCCTTTCAGACTCTCTTACAGGCAATCACAAAATAATGAGTACAGTTCTCTGTGCTACACAGTAGGTCCCTGCTGGTTATCTACTTCACATATAGCAATGTGTATACGCCAATCCCAAGCTCCCCGTCTATCCCTCCTCCCTACCACCACCCCGGGCAACCACAAGTTTGTCTTCTATGTCTATGTGCCTATTTCTGTTTTATATATTAATTCATTTATATCTCTCTTTTTTTTTAAGATCCCACTTACAAGTGATATCATGTGGCATTTGTCTTTCTCTCTCTGGCTTACTTCACTTAATATGATGATTCCTAGGTCCATCCATGTTGCTGCATATGGTATGACTGCATTCTTTTTTATGGCTAATATCCCATTGTATATATATACCACAATAAGAGCTAATATTTATTGAGAACTTACTACGTGCTAAGCACCTTCGCAAGCCTTTCCATCTATTAATTTATTTAGTCTTCCCAGCCAGCCTATGAGGTAAGTACTATTTCATATAATTCCCATTTTACAGATGAGAAAACTGAGCCACAGGGAAGTAACTTGTTCAAGGTCACACAGCCAATAAGTGGTATAATTTGAAAGACTGAAAGAAAACTGCAAAGGCAATGACTTTCTTATCATGCAATTCAATGTTATTATATGTCCTATCTTTATAAAAGCAAAATAGTGTCTCTGTTCTCTGGTAGTAAAGGACCCACACTTCAGGAAAGGCTGGCCTCCTACAGGACACTCTCATTTCTTTAGTATTTTTACAGTTGCACTCTCTTCTACCTTTGTAGCCTCACCCCCTGCCACAGGAAACTCTCAACCTCTAGTGGTTCACTGAGCCCACTGTTCATTTGTACTCACATGCCTTTGCTCACACTGCCTGGAATGCCCTTCTTCCTTTTTTCTATTAATCCTAGTCATACACAGCTCAAATGACACTCAGCAAAGCATCCCCCCAGAGAACCCAGGCATAATGGATTGTTCTTTTGCCTCGAGCCCAGGACACTTGGCTTATTCTTTTGTCCTGGCACTCACTTATTCTCTCTTACTCTCTAGATCTGGGGCTTTGTAACCCCCAATCCTTAGCCTAGTCTCTTACACCTAGAGACTAGGCTAGAGTAAGTGCTAAATAAACATCAATTAAATTAGATGTATTCACACCTGGAGGGTTTTGTCCAACATCTCCATCAATATAGAGAAGAGATCCACGGGTGTGTGGATATCGTGGCCTGTCGTGATTGTATCAGGAACTGTAAATAGGGGTAGCATGGAGGGATAACAGGGTGGAGAGGGAAAGGCCCTGTGACACTGGGCTGGGCACTGCTGCTTTCGGCCGCAGAGGAAGAGAGGCTGGCTACATCTCACAGTGGCAGTCTGTTTCAGGAGAACTAATTATGGTACTCCCACAGACCTCATCACCAGTAAACCCTCAAAGATGAAGGTTTTTCTAAATTAATGAGTGCAAAAATTACAGAGAAGAAAACATGTTCATACAAGAAAATCCCAAAGTTCCTTCCTATCCCTAGACCTGAAACTGTCCTAGCCTCCAAACATAAAAGCTTCACTTTCTGACACTGTCAGAAGGCGATCGATCGCTACCCAGAGCAAATGGAGGAGGGTGGAGGCCCTGCTTCCCGGGATGTTGACGTACACCCGGTAAACGAAGAGTCAGCACATAGGCGAGGACTTAACTTTCTGTGAACAGACTCTCTCGCTTTATTCGCCTTCCCTAGGGAACATGTAAGGCCAGGGGCTCGAGCACTCAGTGGTCGCCAATGCCTTCTACACCCGAACCTATGGGTTCACAGGTCCTTTCCCTTTTGAGCAGACAGTAAAGACAAACGCGGGATTATCTGTCACCAAGGATGAGCTCCCCGCCGTCCCGCGGCTCACTGGCCGGTGCTCCGTCACGCCTCAGTCCTGGGCTGCACGCCGCCCAGTGAGCGGTCCGCAGCCGCTCTCCACCTGTTCTGGACCTGTCCCGGGGCGCACCGCGGCGCTCAGCCCACTCTCCGTCCCGCATAAGACACCAGATCCTCTTCACCCGCTGCCACCGGCTTCCAGAGAAGAGTGGATAATAGTAGTCTCCGAGCCTGACCTTGGGCTTAATTTCAATTTCCCCGAAACCTCTCGCACCCCTGGGCTGACTCCGCCTCCCGGGACACAAGGGCGCGGCACACCCAAAGCCGCAGAGCGTGAGCCTCGAGGGCTGCCAGGGGCCCTGGGGGCGGGGCGGACCGGGGGCGGTGGGCGGGCCCTGGGGGCGGAGTGGGCCCAGGTGAGTTGGGCTGTCCCTGGAGGCGGGGCGGCCCCTGGGGGAGGGGCGATGCGGGGCGGGCCCGGAGGGGGCGAGCGCAGGCGGTGTCTGGCCCAGGGGGCGGGGCAGGCCCAGGGGGAGGAGCGAGGCGGAGCGGACCTGGAGGGGGCGGGCGCAGACTGTGTCTGGCCCAGGGGGCGGGGCCGGGGCGGACCCTGGGGGCGGGCTCAGGCGGCGGCTAGGCCGAGCGTGCTGCAGGCCGTCCGCAGGCCCAGCGCGCCACCATGGAGCGACAGCCCCGGCGGCCGCTGGGACCGCTGCAGCAGCAGAGGCATCCGAGGAGGAACGGGGGCTGAAGCCGTGGCCTCCGGGTAGTAGGCCCGTGAACACCCGCCGTCCCCGAGCCCCGACTCCTCCTCCCTGCCTTCCCGGGCGCAGGCGGTGACCCTGCCGGACGATGCGCGCCCCCGGCCGCCCCCGTGGCTGAGCCCGCCTCCCCGCACTCGGCCCTCGCCCTCGCCGTCGCCCCCCATGGCCTTGCCGGGCGCCGAGG